GGTCGCCGAAACGTCAGGAGATTATATCGTTTGTAATTAAATCTGGACAAAAATATTCTTTTTTAGGTTTTTACGTCACTTAGTGAATTCATCATTGTTTCTGGCCAGTCGGGAAGTTTTTTTTCTCTTTTAATTCCGACCAAACTTATCGTTACTTTTTTTTGCGCATTTTATAATACATAACCTCCTCGTTAGGTTACACATCACGTGTAACCTAACATTTCGAACATCGTCTAATCGATTCAAACAACAAACACTTTGTGTATTGCAGCAATTTTATTTCCAGCGAAAAGTACTGGCTAAGCGCTGACAACATCTTTGAGCTGAGTCATCTTGTATGTACACCCACGTTTGCATTTAATTTTTATGAGCGCGTTTTATAGCTATTAATTACATTTACTGATACCTTTTTAATATATTTTAAACGTTACTTTTTATTTAATCAAGAGATTACCTTGATAATCTATTGATTTAATACATTGTCAAAACAGCAGCGCGCTTAAACGTGAGGTAGAGACGTGCCCTTAATCTAACCTTACTTGGGAGTGGAGCACCATTATCTTACTTACGTGAGAAAAAAGCACACTGCAACTGAAAAGAGCAAAGTAAATTGCTTCACGGAAGTGACTTCACTCTTACTACAATGGATTACGGTCGGGGAAGCAGTCGGGGTAGGATCAAGCAGGAAATCGCTGCACTGGGTACTTCCGGTTGCCCCAGGGTCCCGGTTGTTGGCACAGAATGGATTGTAGTCATCATACTGAAAATCGAAAGCTTCTCCGTCCTGAGAGGTAAACGTGCATTGAGCGGTTAACAGATCTCTGACACACTTCTTTGCTTTGGCGTATTCACTATTAGGAAAGACACAATCAAATTTAGTGGCTAAAAGGTCTAGATGAGGCTTAAACTGTTAGCTACTTAATTGGCTGATATTTTAAGTAATATATCAACCCAAGAGACTATCTCTTGATCCAACACGAGAGGACATGTTTGATCAAGTTTCCAAACATGGAGAAGAGAGTTTGAAATTCGATGCCTGGAGGAATATTTTTGACGAAATTCGAGGTGTTTGGAAATGTGGTCAAACACTGTCTTAAGTTTTTTTTAGATATCTTCTCAATTAATCCGAAACTAAATCCAAGGGGAAAACTGAGAAATAAAATCGTAAAAATCAATGCTAATGAAAATCAGATATCCAAACACCGTATGATCATGATTTCCTTTGTTTCAACTTGAAGAATTATTAAAGAGTTTGAGAACTACTTGCCCAGTCGATGAACTCTCCCTTCACCGCACTGTGCCGGGTTTGAACGCAGTAGTGGAGAAGAGAGTCCATATGCCCGCGCCCATGCACCCGCCCTGGGTTTAACCCCTGCAGGGAAGGGAGAGTTAAGGAACTGAAATCTTTATTAACCACCAGCTGAGAAATTACGCGTGTTTTTAACTGCTAGCTTAATGTGCAAGATTTACAGAGAGCTGGTTAGAGCTGAAAATGGGAAGAAATTTTAACTGATGGCTAAGAATTCCCAGAAAATTTGCTGAGTTGATGACTGAAATTCCAGCCCCCCGGTCCCATACATAACCTCTGGTCATGTGACTATTTTCAGCCTCTTTTGGTACTCTTTGTTAGCCCAGTTCCTGGCCCTCTCTCTGTCACCCAATCAGGGGAGTGCTACGTTTTCGGGAGAGAAGGTCCTTCTCAACTGAGAACATATCTTGAATCTTTAATCATTATTTATGTACGGTAAAAATTCATCAGGTACAATAAATTCCAATATAATGTCTAAGATCCTAAAACTAAAATTCTAATCTTAATATTATATTAACTTACAACAATATTCAACAGGTTTAGCGTTGAGAGCGTTCCTCGCTCCCGAGAGCGCAGCGTTACGTGACAGAGAGCGCTGCGCGACAGAGACTTGGGTGCGTGACAAACTAACCTACAGAGTGACGTGTCCGCTCGGTTAGCAACATCTCCTTAAGAGTCTTTCCACACAGAGGAGCTCCCTGATTGTAGGCGTCGTTACACGTCAAATTCACTTGAGAGGCAAACCTTCTAGGGTTGCCAAGAAGATCTAGAGGACCCTCGATACATAAAGAGCTTTCTGTGACAAATTGATCGAGTATAGCTGCAGCCTCACTCTGATTGAGAGCATTTTTCACGCAACCGTTGTAAACCTTTCTAATGCACGCGGCCGCTATATGGAACTGCACGCTGTGAAGAAGAAAACAAGTGAATAATTCATTTTAATACTCGTGAGCATTATATGTACCATTCATGCTAAGTTTATTGAGCAGGGGCTGATTTAGGAGCGTTGGATGAAAAAGATTGTGAGTGACTATTTTGGTAGAAATAGAGTCAAAAACTCTTGGTAGGTACCTCATTGTAATTTCTAGTTTATGCCATTGCTAGTGTTTCCGATATAACAGTTTTAACTTAGGTTTCAATTCTCAAAATGCAACATTTTTGGGGTAACTAGGTTCCATATTTGATTCTGCAACCCCAGAGTAGTAGCCACCCCACCCCTCCCCCGTTTGAAAAACTCTCGATCCGCCCCTGTACGTTGAGTGGTGTATTTCTGCATGCCTTCATCGATCCGCCATCTTGATATTTCTATGCCAAAACAACCCTGAGAAAGAATTTAAACATTTTAAAATAGGCATAATGAAGTGTCTCGGACATAACATTTTGCAGATATAGACCAAGAAACCAGGACTACTTAAAACTGACTTACCCGCAGTTAGCGGCAGTGGGATCTTTCTGAAGATCTTTATAAAACAGAGTAGTACATTTCCTTATGTTGCAGTGATACTCCTGCAGTGAGCAATTGAAAATGCCTGGGAGATCTGAACCGTAACTAGACCTGATGAGACATACTGAAAGAAAAAAAAGAACAACAACAACAACATAAACATGAAAACTGACATAAACAAAGCAAGAACAAGAGGAGAAAGGAGAAGAACAAGAACAGGAACAAGAACAAGATGTAAGTCCAAAATAGAGACAGTTTGATCTGTTTTGTTTAGTTATGAAAGCAAATTTAATACTTTGATCATCGCGACTATTCGTACGCTTCGAGAAGTGGCAGGCTCTCTCTTCTTCCCACTCCTGAATAGACCCTTTTACCGATCGATACGGCGGCCATTTTAAATTCCTTTGTTTCAAATAGTATTATAGGATAATACGTACTAATTTTTCCCCTGAGCATCCCATAAAGAATGAATCGAGCTAAAAAATATCAGTTCTGAGTATTGAAAAGTCGTAGCACGATTAACTCTCCCAAAGAAATTGAGCCCGATGCACTGGAAGCTCCCGTCAGCGGACACCTTCGGACGCGAAAAAGGTGTCTGTAAATGGAACTGGCTACTTACAAGAATGGTTCTCGCAAGCGGCCACTAGAGTTGTAAGGTGTGTATGGCCGGTTACGGAAGCTTGCCCAGCTAACAATAAACATTGGAAATGCAAAAAATACCGCCGTTTCAATTGACTTTTTTTGTTGTTTTTGATAATGGTGACAACTGTGTACGGATGGCTGCCGAACTATGCGCTATGTAGAGTTCACTTGTAAACTGCAGTATGAATTGCAATACTATGCGATATATATGGAATTTCCTTTCGGATCACGATCAGCTTACCGGAGATTAATAACAAAATAAAAGTCTTAATCGTAAGCCCTCAGAGTGTCCGCGGCCGCTTACGGGAATGTCCACTTACGGGAGTGAATAAATGCAGAGTGTGCACTGATGGGAGTTCAAACGTGATTTTGTTAAGGTGGTCGCACGTATGTAGACCTGTCAGCTTACGAGTGTCCGTTAAGAGAGCTTCCACTGTAGCTTTTGTTCGAGGTGTGTTAAGAATTCAAAATTTTATAAGGAATGATATGCATGGGCAAGCTTAGCGCTTTTGCCAGCTACAGATCTCGCAGGTTCTGGAGAGCTGAGATAATATCTCCTTCAATATTCCACCCAAAGAGCTAAAGACTCCACAATGTATTAAGTTCGACAAGCTCCTTAACTGTTTAGAGTCGATTCGCATATAGCGCGATGTTAAACGCAAAGTCTTATGCCAATGAAGCAAAATATATACAATGGCGTTAGTAAAGATCCCCAGAAAGCTAAGACCTTTAGCTTGTGATCACGTGATTAAAGTTACTTACCAAAAGCAAAGGCAAGTGTTAGCGTATACATTCTGCTCACGAGATTCCGGGCCAAGCAGGAACAATACAAACTGCTTTTACTGCGGAATGTAGAGCGTGCTGCGAGTTCAAAAACGGACTCTGCCAATCTGCAGCTTGTTAAACATTGCATACGCAATTTTGTAACTTGAAAAACATTTAGGAGTCAAAAGTCAAGGGTGCATTTTTATTAGTAATATTGTTTTTGATTGCCAGCCCGGAACTTTGACGTAAAATATTTGTGTTGTATTACATCGACCAATATCGATCTTCTTTGAGAAGCTGATGAATCTTCCAATTCTTCTTCCGTTTCCAACGCACGCAAGTTTATTGGGAAAAAGTGAAGAAACAAGTTCTAGATACCGAAACAGTACCTCTAGGACATGCACTGTTAGGTAAAGGTGAGGAGAGCGCGAAATTTCTGCCTATTGTTTACAGGCAGGTGTGACGTTGACCAATCCGCAAATATTTTGACGTGGGTTTTGAATTTTTTGTATTGCGCGTAGCAACAAATCATTCGGGCATTTTGTTTCGAAATGCGGAAAAGAGGGAGGTGTCTCAAGTGCTTCTTTTCGCCGAATTTATACTGGAAATTGATGGCAAAATACTTAAGTAGATATTTCTTATTGATTTCGAGTTAGATGAAGACAGAAAAATGGCTTTTGTGTTTTAAAGTGGACGTTCATAAAATGGCCAAAAATCGTAAAGTCCTATATAAACAGTATGCCAGCACGGAAAAAAATATTGAAGTCCCCAAACATTTTATGGCTTTTTTGAGAACTTTAGTGATTGCCCTCACTATCCATGTTAGAATAATGTGTGTTTGCTGTTGCCCAGGCAGATATTTGCCATCAATTAAAGAGTATTCACAACACTACGAAATATGCACCTTACTTAAGAGAGACCCACGAAGAGAAATCGATTGTGTAGTTCAAATGAATATCTGTGCTTTGGGACTGATAATAGTAGAACATGATCCAGTGGATTTCTACCCTGGTCTCAGAGGTTTTTCTTGATTTTTCTCCGCATGAGATGAGACAGCCGCGAGAGAGCCGCGAAGAGGCGAGCTGTCTCATCTCATGCGGCTGTCTCATCTCATGCGGAGAAAAATCAAGAAAAACCTGTGGGACCAGGGTAGTGGATTTCATTTTCGCATGGCCTTTCTTGTTGTAGAAATACTAAATCAAAGACAGCTAATTAAATAAGCATAAATTAGTGACAAACGGCCATTTTTGAAGGGGGTCCTCCTAACTTGAAGAGAATGAAATATTTTGAGCTAATTTTTTTGCCATAATCATTTACTCACCAAACCCAACATTTGTGCTAGGTTTGAGCGAAATCAGTGATTTGAGCTGTATCACCTCCTGCCTGGTTTTCTCGGCATGGACACACTCTTGAAACAACGGAGTGCGGTCATTTTCATCCTTATATGTGAAAGCATTTTTAGTTTAAAACAACTTGTTTTGCTTCCTATAAAATTTAGCACGAGTATGAAGACGGCCTTTACATGTAAACGATTTTGTGATGAGCTATGTAGAGGAGTTCAAGAGTAAAAAATGTTTTTGTTACCAGCATATCAGACTTCTTTGTAGCGCCATTACAAATTATTTTGAGACCTGCGTTTTTTAAATAAGTGGGTTCGTTGTTCTTATGTTTCTGCTTATACTTATGTTTATGTCTCGTCTGTTTTCACTTGTGCCTATGCTTATGCTTGTGCTTGTGCTTATGATCTAGTGAAAACCAGCCTTTAGATGTGCAGTTTTCACTGGTACGCGCTCGACATAAGCATAAGCATAAGCACAAGAAAAACGAACAGTTCTGTTTTTCTTCTGCTTATACTCATGCTTATGTCGAGCGCGTTACTAGTGAAAACTGCACAAGACAAATAAGTGGGTTCGTTGTTCTTATGTTTCTGCTTATGCTTATGTTTATGTCGCGGCTGTTTTCACCTGTGCTTGTGCTTATGCTCTAGTAAAAACCAGCCTTAAGCTTACACACATTAACCATTCCCGTTCAAGCAACTTTTGTTGAGCCTGGTTTTCACTATGACATAAGCACAAGCATAAGCAGAATGTTAGTGAGGATGCCAACAACACAACTCCCCATTGCCTGATTTCTAGCCGAAAAGGTCTAGTTACAAGTCTATAAATTATGGGATTAGCAGCTATTGATCCACATAGTCATAAACCAAGCTTTACAAAATCCCCAAGTTTGGTGCAAATAGCCCCAATAGTAAGAAAGATACAACCATTTGAAAACATCAAAATTTACAAAAAAATTATGGCCATCCGGACGCTGTGTCCGGATGACCAAACCAAATATTTCTGTGTAATTTTGGCGTTTTTAAATGGCTGTATCTCAGTCAAAACTAGCCTGATTAACACAAAACTTGGGGATTTTGTGAATCTCGATGTGCTCTCTCTGACTATGTGGATCAATAGTTGCTAATCCCATAATTTACAGACTCGTACTTAGTCCTTTTCGGCTTGAAATCAGCACAACCACAAGGCGAACAAATACGCATAAATTTGGTCACTTACTCAAACGGATAAATTTGCATAACTGGTGGAGCCTTCTCAAGCTGAGTTAATATTGAGCGTCATTGAAGTTCTGTCTGCGATAGCCCAGGACTGTCCGGGATGTTTATTCGGAACGTTGCATTAATCATAGGTAAGCCAGGAATCTATATTTACACCAGTTTGTTTTAAGTAGTCATACCAGGTTACTTTTTGAATAATATTTTGAACAAATCGAGCTTCCTCAACGATAAGAGCGAAATTGGTCGACGATCCGGCTGGCGATGTTCAAATCCTTCACTTGCTGTCGTTTGACAAAACTTCGCCGTCTAAAGTCTGTAGGATGGTGATTTATCTCGGATGGAATACATTGCAAGATTTAATTATGAATAAGCAGCAAACTTCGTCTTCAAATCGACTTAAAAGATCTACGCCCGTAACATTACTTTTTCAATTTGTAAAAAATTGCGTTCCACGCTAGGGCGGCCACTATCTGTAAGTTTCATCAAAAGTGACTGGAATTAAAAGTAAGATATGGCAAATGTAAAGCTGGCCGAAAATTGTGGTACAGTATTTTTCCGTGTTCGTCTTGATTTTTCAAAGCCATGCCGACTGTATTGTTCGGTTAGTCTTCGATTGCATAATTGTCTGGTACAGTTCAACAATTTAGTGCTGCTTGGGTGCGTTCTGCAAGGTTTCTGTCGATGCTTTGGTAGTGATACTGTTGGAGAAGGCAGTCGAAAAGGAAACATACCATTCAAATGTTTTCCAAGAGGAAATCTGAGTGAAAAAGGCGTGCTGAAACTACATTAACTGGCCACTGGCCATTTAAAAAATTCTAGAAATGGGCACTTATAGAAATGCTGGTCCGCCGGTAAATTCGACCGCCTCTCTTCGCTCCACGGCCTTTCAGACCAGGAGCGATGAAAGGCCGCAGTATTCTCAGGCATTAGTTGGAATTACTCATTTTCACGTGAAGTAGTAAACTTGCTTCAGTCTCGAACCGAACTATCGCCCTCAGCAGGTGTTTTGCTTGTTTTAGTGTTTCTTTCTGGAGGTGATGCAGGGCTCCCCGATGTTGGTCGCTGCAAATTTATGGAATACTATTGCAGCGCGCTTAATTGTAGCACAGCTCTCGTCAAAGAACTCCAGAAAGATCCTTCAGGAAATTGCAGGTAATGTGTCTTCGTAATGGAGTTTACAGATTGTAAAGAAATGTTAATGAGATCTCTGGTGACCAATAAGTTTGGCACCAAAATACTAATAACGTACTGACCTCTAGACAGCTCTTGGTAATTAGCTCTCATTAACCGAACAGGAAGTCTCTATGGGAGAATCTTGACCGAGGTCGTGAGTACAGACCGAACGCAGTGAGGTCTGTACACACGAGTGAGGTCAAGATTCTTCCATACAGACCGACTATGCTCGTTTAAGAAGATGTTTATTATATGGCGCAAACAAGAACAATTTTTATATTCTTTTAATGTAACTGGTTCGTACTAACTGACATTTTGCTTGCGAACGGCAATGAGCTGAATTTAATTCTGCCAAAGTTGCTCCTAATCTTTACTTTTTTTTTCTCATCAGGCTTTTTGGCACTTCCATAAATAAATATTGTTAGATGAAAATAGTGAATGATTTTGCATTTTGGTTTGCAACTTTTTCACTGCAAAACATTTCCGGTCTAGATGCCGGTCTAGGTGGGAAAATCTAGACCGCTTTCAATATCGATTTCAGCCAATCAAATTCGTGAATTTGGTAGTTCCCAGTCCTTGTCAAGACAGAGCCATATAACAAGTTGAAATTGTTAAACGTGCGAAGTGTTAAACTTTTTTTGGACAATAGAGAACAGACCTATTCAATGGTAACAACTTGGGTACGGCCAGCTATGAAGGAGGATAAAAAAGTAAAACCTGAATTTAAAACTTCTCCTAATATATAAATAATTCATTTTGTTTTATTTCTCAAAGCCTAAATTTGAATTTTGATATATGAAAATTATAAGCTTTTTTTAAATCTTCGCAGGACTCATAAGATAAGAAATTTGCTAAAGTAACTGAGCGCTTTCCATTCTTATTTAAATACCGAGCGCCCATGGTAGTTCAGGTGATTAGCCTATCGCCAAATTTGGATTTAGAGCTCACAAAACAAGTTTGATTTTAAACTTGTGAGTTGGAAATGCTATAACAAATACAATTCCAATCGCCTTGCTTGCTTGTCCAAGATCATAGTAAATGATAAATAACTGGCGCCCCGCTCCGGGTGAAAGATCAGTTACACTCCCTTTGTTAATTCGCCATTTCCACAATTCCCATAAGACACCTTGTTTGCCCCCAAAATTCTGCATAACCTTTGTTTTCCATTTCTCCTGGGTATCACAGTCGTCCCAAGAGAAACTGAAGACAATGCTTATGCAAAATTTTGCGGGGCAAACAAGGTGTATATTATGGGGGATGTGGAAATGACGAATTATGAAATTTCCTCTCTTTGCATCCAAGTGCTAAGTACAACCAAATGGTCAACTGCATTGTGAAGACACTGAAAGTTTGCCATGGAGACGCGCTGTCGCACAGTCTG